ACAGGAGGCCCCAACAGGATCCAAACCCCCACAAAGGCCAGGTAACCTCACGGAGGTGAGTGATCAGTCTGGACCGCGACGTCAAGGAGCTCATAAGAGAGTCATTCTTGACCGAGAAGACAGGTCGGTTACAACATGGGTTAAAGCCACCGAGTGATCTTATCCCACCATCTCGATGCTCTCGAGCGTAGTCTGGTATATTCTCAACGTCGCTCTGGCATTTCTGCAAACATCTGAAAATCTTTTCAGAGTCGCTATGCAGCTGCCAAGCGTGACGATGCTTGCTGCGAGCCCGACAAAAGCCTCTGCCATCGATTTTTCAATCCAGTCGTATGTGCTCTTTGTGCTGGTGCTTCATGCAGGGTGTTAGCGCGACCTGCAGAGGAGAGAAAATGGACGAACGTGTTCGGCTGAAAACGCGGTGGTCTGTGCGGTGCATATGCATCATCGTGTATTCATAATACAATCATCAATACCAATCAATGTCAATCACAATCAATGTCAATCAACCATGTGCTCTTTCCGTTTCGTATTCGTCTTGGTCTCTTGGTCTCATTATATACAATTCTGTCGGCCTTTGGTCGGGGCAGACTTGTCTTCTAGTTGCCAGATTTTATTGAGTGGCCTCCCCCTTCCCAGGTTGGGTTTCGAGTCTGGAGATTTTGATGTGTCTCTGAAGGCGTAACAACCGACTATCGACAGCGGATCAATGCCACGGCTTCAGAACAATGTCATGAACCCTCGGACTGGTGGCGGTAGCCGCCTCGTGTCACCGAGTCTGGCGAGCTCTCGAGTAGTTTGCCCGGCGAGATGGGAGGCAAGGGCAGTTTCAGCGGTGGGCGTGTGTGCTTCTGGTCGTCCAGGAAGAGCAGAAATGGGATTCGCGAGTTCTTAAGGCGCAGCCAGTTGTCGTAAGCCATTTCGCACGACCCGTTGTCCCAGATGGCGATGCGGATCGGGCTCGCCATGGTCGGCATCTTAACGTAGTAGAAGAGCTCGACCTCGGCGTTAGGCGGCGCGCCCCGGTGCTTCTCCAGGAATCGTCGACAGTGCGGCAGCACATAGTCGTACCCGTACTTGGTGAGACCCGGCGGACAGCGCACGCGAAACAGGTCCTGTATCCTCCCGCTCAATACCTCCTCTTGAACGCCGCTAATGGCGCGGATCTCGATGTAGTTGACATATTTACCCGGGTATACCCTCATCCAGAGCTCCCCAGCTAGGTGGCTGGTACTGCCTGGAGGAGCCATATAGACATGATCAGGATGACCGGGAGAGTCCTCCCTACTACTGCCAGCAGAAAGAGATGTGAGAGTAGTAGACGATGGTGTACTTCCAACAGTGGATTCCGGATCGTGGGGAAATTCGTGCGCCTGGCTGCCTGATGATTCCTGGCTCGCGGGAGTCTCTCTTTTCCAGAGCTCGGGAATCCCACAAACGGCGTGAGCCCAGAAGTAGAGAGCATTGTTCAAGCACGTCACCCAGTTGTGGGACCGCGTTCTCTCAAAATAAGGTCGAAAGTCAGGGCAGCTCTCCACCTTACTGGCAACAGCCTCGAAGTCGATCCCGTAGTTCAACACGGAGTGTGCTCCATCTCGGATCACCGGTGAGACAATCAGCTCTTTGATCGCTGCGTCAAGACGCTTCACGACGTGGTCGGGCAGTCCCAGCTCCAGCTGAAGGCGAGCCAGACTGGATCGATACAATTCCTCCTTGGTAGACCCCTCTTCAGTAATAGGTTCTGCGCCTCCACGGGGACAGGGGGAAAGGAGAGCCTTGCTTACCATAGTCTCCGATAGGTGGTGCACCGCTGTCTGTTTGCCTAACCTGGTGCAGCTGCTGTAGGGCGGTGGAGCACGTGAGAAAGGCAACGCGAGTGGAGGAACGTGGCCAATATTAGTCGCGCTGCTATTGATGGCATCGAGCCGGAAACTGGATAACATGTTGATAGGGGAGACGGTAGAAGGAGGAAGAGACGCCAAACGGCGGCGTCGAAAAGGATGGGCGTGTCCTGTATTTTTGCATTTTTCTTTCCCATCTCTTTTGCACCGACATTGTGGTCTTGAGCGCCATGCTGCTATGGCACTTTCACTCTCGCATGGTTGGCCCCCTTTGATTGGTGCTGCAGGAGTGCCACTCGCGTCGGTGGTGCAGGTTGACTATACCTGGCAAGTACAATGGGGTCAGCTGCGTTTCTGGATCTTTTTTCCGCCATGCACATGATGACGGACTGACATGTCAAATTGGGGAAGATGTTCTTGTGCTGTCGAATAGCAGAGGCGCAGGGGAACAAGGATGCTGGGGATGAGGACGGTGGACGAGGCGTGATAGGCTCATATCCCAGCCTCACACAAACCTCCACGCTCAAGTACCGAGTACGTCGTAAGTAGCTGCAGATGCGCCCTGGAAATTCGAAGCGCCAAAGTTTCTTCTGCCACGTTCAGTCCAATCCGAGAAACCCTTGGGCAGCACTAGATTTGCTATCCCAGATAACCGACCAAAGCAGGAAAAAAGATCGGATCCCGCAATCCTTTGCCTTTCAGCATGTCCAGGCGATTGGCCTGGCCAGGCGTTTCCTCCTCTTCGTATCCACTGATGCATGTCGAATAAGAAACAGACTAGGAAGTCGAATTCAGCGCACCACAATTGCCCAGGACGCTCTCTCTCGGCTACACTTACTGACTTTTAGGGAGGGATGACGGGATGGGCTCAGGTGGACGGCAGTTGGCCATGCCTTTGGTCTTGCAGCTTGGAAGGTGCATGATGTTTGTGGGAAGAGACGGACGAGGGTTGATGGATCGGTGAACAGATGGTTGGATACGAGGTGGATCCCGACCTGCATGTCCTGTCCTGTCCTGTGACATTGCGGTGAAGAAAGCCAGATGGATGATGGATGGTGCAGTCACTTGGGCCTTGTGTCGTGCGACGTGGTGTGCCTTGTTCCTCCTCGTCTTCTCTCGGTGTGTACAACAACTTGGCCATTATCACGCAGAAGTGTCTCTGTTGACCAATGTGGCTTCAATTGGATGAAAGATATCGTCCTTGCAAAGGCTGCTATTGAATCCCAACGCATGAGCCTCTTTACACCAAAGGCTTTGCTTTATCCACTTTCATCCTAGGTACCATTCCCAAGTGTCCCATCTCGTAATACATCTCAAAGAGAGCCTCAATCGTGTCGACAAAGCCAGTCCAGCCCAATCGCCTCGCCTTGTTCATACACAAACTACCAAATTTGCTCAAGGCCGCATCGCCGAATTCAAAGCTCGCCTGAGGATCATTGAAAGGGTTATCGGTCAGTTGACCGCCGGACGCCTTCATGAGCTGCTGCCAGGCCTCCTTGTTTTCAGGTTGCGAAGCCCAGTCGACAAGTGAGAACAGGATGCGAAATGTTGGAGCAGGGCCGTATCTGTGACTCAATCAGCTACCTTGACGTACCACATATGGTACAGATTAGAGGATTCGCACTCACCCCATAGGAGACTGTTTCCCGCCGGTGCCCTTGATCTCATGGAATTTGGTCAGATCCTCTTCCGGGGGATGGACGCCCTTCTCAACGCCGAACCATCGTGCCAACTCCTCGTAGAAGCGGTCAAAGGACACAGGTCCGGTGTCCTGGGAGTTAAAGGCCTCATTCTTGCACTTGTCCTCCAATACCGCCCACTCGGATAAATAGCCTGTGAGCATAGCAGAGGAATGATGATACTCAAATTGCCAAGTGTCCCAGTCTCCCGGGAAATATAAAGGTTCACCCTTTTGCGCTTGTACGGCGGCATAAAGAGCGAAAGGATGGAGGGCATTCATCTGGGCGTTGTTGACGGCGCCCAGGATCCAAGCTGGACGGACAACATTCCACGCGGTGTTGCTGGCTTTACAAAATTCGAAGAGCAACTTCTCTTGCGGGTAGTAGAAGTTGGGTTGCAGGTGCGCCGGTTGCGGGTCGGACTCGATAGCTGGAGTACGGGCTCGACCAACATGAACACCGTAGTTTTTCGCCCCCGTTTGCAGCAAAAAGCGCTTGGGAATGATCTTACTGAGGGTGAGAGCCTGAAGGAAGTTGTCAAGTAGCGCACTGTTCACTTTGACCAGTTCATCGGCGTTGGACCAAGGGCCACTTCCTGGCGGGGGCTTTGGCTGCAGGTACGAGTAGAAGAAGACGTAGTCGGCTTTGACACCAGCTGAGGTCATGGCATCAGCGATCTTTTTGGGATCCTCCAGGAAATCGACTGCCACATGTTGGACTCGCGAACGTTGGGATTCTGGAAGAAGAGCCATCATTTCTTTGGGTGGTGGGCGGCGTGACAAGGCGTAGACCTTGCTCCAGCGCTCGGGGCTATCAAGCAGCACCCGCATCGTATGGAAGCCCGAAATGCCATTGGCACCAGTGACAATCGCCGTGAGGTCCTTGATAGACGGGTCGAAAGTGGGCAGATTGTGGTAGATGCCTTTGTGTCGGACGGGGTAGCGCTCGGAGCCCATTGTGATTTTGTGACAAGAACACAAACTCAAGGTGGGTTTTTTTGGACGCTGATGTGAGACACGAAAGGATAGGCAAAACAAACCTCTTTATATAGCTGTGAAGAAAACGAACTGGGTGAACGGATCTCACCTCGGGTCATTGCCTCTTTTGTATTTACGAAGACTCTTGGGCGTGTGGATCAATTGGCATTATGCAACTGCGCGGGGTTCCTGACTCGGTGTGCCAACCACTCCGCTGATAGCGAGACAACCGCGGAAGTGTCGATGAAGCATTTGGGGTAAGGATGAGGATTGAGTTTATCGCTTCTGTAATTATGAAATTGAGAGAATTGGGCCAGGCCCATGGTGACCATCACGTGATCAGTGCGGAGAAGAATGTTGATGCCAGACGCGATTCGCGATTCGCGATTCACATGCAACACATGAAGCGAAAGTGAAGTCTTCAGAAAACTAATCAACTCAACTCAACTCACCTCGGACTAGACAGCAAACCCCCCAGTGGAACCTACTGCCGGCCGTCCAAGATGCTCGACTGGCACGACTTTGACGCAGTCTTTCAGCCAAAGACCGACTATGCTTATGACACCCGAACGGTTGAGAGTATCCTCAAACACCGCAAGGAATTCGGTGACCAGCTATTCTTTGACCGCATCTGGAAGACCATTGGCCTTACAAGACGTGAGGCCTTCACTTTGCATCAATATTTGTCAGAGTTACTGATCAATCATCAGCTGCAAGGAATAACTATCCACCTCGATCCAACCAGGATCTGCGCAATTTGTGGTCCAAGATTGTTCAGTCGACCGCTCCCGATGAACAGAAACTCGCCCTTCTCTACTACCTGCTCCGAGACTGTCGCCAGCTGCCCAATGCCGACTCGAACTTTGCCCGAAGAACATATCTCCCTCAAAGGTGGCAGCTTCTGGTGGCAGGGTTGTGGGAACTTGACCACGCTCAGTTCTCTCGTGCCCTCGAACACCTCACAGACCCCTCCCTGACCCCGACCTTCACTGACGAGATCCTCCTTACCCTCCTGCGACATCCAAAATGCGAGCCGCCCTTAGCAATGACCTATTACATTGCTATATCTCCACCACTGGAAGATCCGGCAGTTCTCGAGGCATATTATGATTTGATCATAAGTAACAACCTGGTGGAAGCGTATTATTTCGCACAGAGACAAGACGAGACAAAACATAAAATACTGTTTGAGAAACTGGTGGTGGCCGTACTTCAGGACAGCCCTGGGCGTGCTCGGTCGGAGCGGGCAACGCTTCTGGTTGGGCTGCCATTGACCGTGCAGGAGGAGGTCTGGTTCGAGCGTTGCATACTGGACGGCGCAGCTTCCAAGCTGCCGGGTGCAAAGGACTCGCTCATGGCCAGGAGAATTGTTTTGGGCAGGTCAACTAGCGACCCAAATGTTCTGGGCAGGCTGAAGGGTGATGAAATTGGGGGAATCAACTGGGACGTCGTCAAAGCGGGAATTGCCGACGCTGTGTCTTATTGAGACCCCTCCAGCCATCCTTGCGCTTTCTCGAATCGACACAGCTGTTATCCCAAAAAGACATTGCTGGGGAGTACATTTCTAAGCTACTATACAACTGTCACCAGCGCTATCAACTTGTCGCGGACTTATCCCGCTGCACTCGACCTCTCTAGCCTGGTGGTGACGCATTACCTGCGGCCGCTGATGACGCGGGACTGGGACGAAGCCGGGGAATCGCCGCGTGAAACCGAAACACCCGACTACCCCTTGCAGTACTCGTACCTTTGATACATACATTCTTACCACACTTTTCACCCACGGGAGCTTTTTGGGCCAGCAAGCTCTCTGTTACCGCCTTTGACAAGACCCTCCCAAACCATGGTTGATTATCCTATTATGCACTGCGCCTCGCGTCGTCGCGTCACGAATTATCTCTGTTGTAAGCACCAGTATTCAAGCCGTGGCTGACTTACGGAAGAAGAAGAGGTTGCGGAATTTATTGAGACTGGATATTTGAATAAAAAGTTGGCCAGGATGACCTCTCACTGGTCCTTCAAAGGTGTGGCTCGATGATCATTATCATCAGCTCGCAGACGCGCGCAACATTAGCTTGGACCTCTACACTTGCAGTTGACGATGCTCCCAACTCTCCTGTTATGTTGTGTCTCGACAGTGTTAGCTACAAATGAGTTAGTGCACCTTGACTACGCCTCTTACAAAGGCAGAGCTCTTGCAAATGGTGTCACTCAATGGCTTGGGATGCGATATGCCGCAGCCCCAACGGGACCTTTGAGATTCGCAGCGCCCCAAGACCCGCCCATCGTCCATGGCACTCAGCAGGCTAATAAGGTGACTTCCAATCCCACTCAACTGTTCAAAGCTCAGACATCGCTGACCGTAGTCTCAGCACGGTGACATCTGCTTTGGGACGGGCAACAATCCTCGTGACCCAAGCTTGTCCGAAGACTGTCTCTTCCTGGACGTCTATGCTCCGAGTCAGGCAACCAACACCTCGAAACTGCCCGTCTACTTCTTCATTCAGGGGGGTGGTTTCAACTTTAACTCAAATGCAAATTACAATGGCAGCGGCCTGGTCTCCGCATCCGGGCATGGGATGATCGTTGTGACCTTTAATTATCGCGTGGGACCGTACGGGTTCCTTGCCAGTCGCGAGATTCAAGAATCACCGTCTGCCACCTTAAACAACGGTTTATTAGACCAGCGCAAAGCGCTCGATTGGGTGCAGAGGTACATTACTCATTTCGGCGGAGATCCAAACCATGTTGTTCTTGGGGGAGATTCCGCCGGCGCTGCATCCATCGCCTACCATTTGACGGCATATGGCGGGCGAAATGACGGGTTGTTTGTCGCCGCAGCCGCCGAATCCGTCAGTTTCGCGCCCATGTTGACTGTCGAGGAAAGTCAGTACCAATATGACCACTTGGTGAAGAGTCTGGGCTGCACATCTCGCACCACGAGTCAAGGTTCAACTGGCAAGGACACCACTGTGTCGTGTCTCCGCTCAAAGACAACGGCAGAGTTCCAGGCCCAAAACCACAATCTGCCGTATCCGGGAGCCCAAAACCCGCCCCTCTACATGTGGAATCCCGTCATTGACGATGGAATGATTCGAAACTACACCTACGCCGCCTTTGATAGCGGCAAATTCCTGCGTATCCCCGTGCTGTTTGGCGACGACACCAACGGCGGGACGGTCTTCACCCCGCGGGGGACATCCAGCCGGGCCCAGTCCAACACCTTCTTGCACGACCAGTTCCCGGACCTGACGTCCGACCAGCTGCAGCGCATCGGCGAGCTCTATCCCAACAATGGCCCGCAATTCCCCAACTCGGGCTCCTGGTGGCGTCAAGTCTCCAACGCCTACGGCGACATGAGGTACATGTGCCCGAACCTGTTCATCGCGGCGAGCTACGCTCGCTACGGCGTGTCGGGCAACTGGAATTACTGGTACAACGTGCAGGACGCCTCGCAGGTCCGCCAGGGCCTGGGGGTGCCGCACACGGTCGAGCTGTCCGCCATCTGGGGTCCCGAGAACACAAACGGCGCGAGCCCGCCGAGCTATCGTCGTGGTGGTCCCAACGCGTGGATCGTCCCGCTGATGCAGAGCTACTGGATCAGCTTCATTCGCACGCTGGACCCGAACCCGTTCAGGCTTCAGGGAGCCCCGACATGGCAAGAATTTACTCTCGCTGATGAGGAGGGCGGTGATGGTGCCACCGCAGCAACAACAGACTGGCTGCGAATGTTCTTCGACACGGCCGACACGACGGGCATGGCCGAGGTCAGCGCCTCCGTCAGGAAGAGATGTCAGTACCTCAACTCGATCGGCATAGCTCTCAAACAATAACAACTACACAATTCCATCTAATCCTATGGCTTGACCTACAAGTCCTTGTGGAAATAGGGACGGAGGATCCTTCCTCCCCGAGAAGGGGAGATCGCGCATGCACACGCCACGCCGCGCCGCCGCGCCATGGCTGGCTGGTATGTATGCTGGTGCAGACACTCGCAGTCGCTTGGTGGGCTGTGAGTAGTTGATCCGGTTGGTCGGTTCATCCTTCCACCCGTTTTGGACTAAAGACTGCCTGGCTGGGCAGTCAAGGCAGTCTCAAAAGAAGACTATCTCTATAATGGCGGCGATGAAGGATCCATGTATAGTAGCGCTGGGTGCACAGCGCCTTATCAGGCTAATTATGGGTAACCCACAGATGGGTATACCAAGCACCTGCAGACAGGTGTCACAAAGTCACACACACAGACCCAAAAAAGAAGCAAACGAAACTATCAAAAAGATCTCGGACCTTATCAAAAGACTACATGGCTCTATCGCACCCTACATACATATATAACCAGGGAATGTAGGTGGGCAGACACGTCCAAATGTTCCATATATCTGTCCTGCACAGCCGCAGTTCTCCATCGTCCCCATAACTCCACCATCCACATGGCTTCCAGGGATATCATATATGCCAACCCCCGTCCATCTCGGCACCTATGACAAACACCTTACCAAATGGCGAGACATCGGAGCTCCAGGCTCTCCCTGGGCTCTTCATTCTCGGTTCCGGGCAGATCAACGCTGGAATGCAGGGTACCGCCGGCGGCGACGGTCTCCTTGTCGCGATTGCTGTCGAAAAGGCTAATGACCAAGACCTCCTCAGGCTCTTGCTGGCTGATAAAGTACCATTTCTGTCCCGAAGACCAGTGGGCAAGATATGATTCTGTGTCGTGTGTTTCCTTTGAGTCTGGGGAGATGCCGAGGTTGGGTGTCTTCACAATGACCGGGACATAGTCGCTCTCGAGGAAGGTACGCGCATCGCCCAGGGCGAGGGGATCACGACGGACACGCTTCAAGGGCCGCCAGATGGAGTACAGTGCCCAGCGAGGTCCCAGACCGGATTCGGCGTACTCCTCTCTCAACGATTTGCCTTGTGCCAGCAGTTTCTCCTCTGCATCGATGATGGGCTGCGCAGTGGCCGTCATGGTGGGGTGATACTTCCTCAAATGCATCCGCGCACCATTGGGGGCATAGTCCAGATGGACTTTAGGAGCAGGACTGGCACCACCGTGTTGCTTGGAAAAACCAATGAACTGGGGGAAGCCGAGTTCGAGTTCCTTCTCCTCCTGCGACTTCTCTGGCGGCTGCTGTTCTTCCTTTTGGTCCCCATGGCCTGCATGTGTAGCGAGAGCGTCCGCTTCGGACCAGATGGCGCTGCGCAATAGAAGAGCTTCAGTGATGACGGTCTTTGCGCCGGTGACTTGTTTGACCATCTCCTCCGTCTCGGGCACGTAGAGTTCCTTGAGGAGTTTGGGGTCACTCCAGCTCGCGCGGCTATAAGGGGGTGCATTCATGGTTGTGGGGTGACGGAGGGCAGTGAAACCGTGGGTATCAAGCTGAGCGGCGCCCTCCTTCGCCTTTGGCAGTTCCGCGATCGTTGGGACTGGCCGCATGTCGATAAGAGGTTGCAGTCGGACGTCACCAAACTCAGCCATAGCAGGGAGATGGAAGTTGTGAGGAGACGGGGTGGGGGTTTGACCCTCGGGAATGTAACGCAGCTTTCCATAATGCTGAGGCTCGGAAGCAGGGGGGTCGGAGGAGAGAACTTGGGTGAGGGTGGTGGTGGTTGTGGTGGTAGCCATGGTGAAAGTAGTGAGGATCGACTCGCACAAGACACGAAGATACAAGGGGAGAGAACGAGCACAAGGACAGAGATGAAGAACGAACGATTACCTTGGTGAGGGAGGGTGAAGACGGATGGCTTTATACCTATAGCATGAGTAAGACACAGGAGTGGACGCGGCGAGGCGCCTGTCAGGCATTCGTGGCGTGTGTTTGTGATAAGACGAGAAAGGCAAGAGAGAGCAGGAGGAACACGAGGAGAGCCTTGGAGTCGAGGGGTTCATGGACTGAATTGCAGTAAATGATTGATGGGATGGATCAATTTGAGTTGGGCAATTGATAACTGCGCAACTGCGCAGAGTGGTGCTCAAGTCCGCCGAGCAAATCAACCCCGCAGATCCCAACACCATCTCCGGAACAGGCAAGAGAGATATGCAAGTGCCATTGACTCTCTCAACAAAAGACACTATCTATCTTGTATGCTGAGCTCCAATATTGGATATCGTCGCCTTCTGAGGGCTCGGAGACGACGATGCTGATAATGAATACCTCGTCGCTTGATGAAGATGCCAACGACACGAAATATTGACCGCAGTCTGTCGAGGGTGAAGTGTGAAGAAGCCTCAACCTCACCAGCGCGCCACGCATCTTGATCAGATAAGGGCTGTTCACACATATTGTCAAGGGCAGCTGAGCCATTATGTCTCCAGCTCTGAGTAAGTGTTGGCTGCAAGTCATTGAGCTGGCAGGTTTCCAGGAGAGGTGCCAGACGGCAACAAAAGCTGGGTCGAAAGTTCACTGGGTGTTCCAGAACTGAACTTGTCATATGTGCTTAGCAGGTACACGAAAGGCGTTCACAGCTGCCACCAGGTATTGACGACCTCGTCATCGAACCTCGAGAAGGTGACACAGCCGTGGGAACAACATCATCCTCATACTCAGCCTGCGCCAGACAAGGCACTCATCACCCAAGTCACCAGTACCGCCAACAACAAGAGAGGAATAAGAAGTGAAATCTACCGGTCCTAAACCTTTGAAAGGTCCATGGCACTGCCCGCGTCTCGTCGCTGTCACCACTCACCGAACAACTGACATGCTCTCTTTCCCAAAGGTGGAGGAGAGACAGGCTACTAGAGATGGACCTCTAGCCCACAATCGCCCAGAGCATTGCAAACAGGTGAGCTATATCACCCGCAGCTATTTGACCAGGGGTAAGCTGCAAGCCTCCAACGCTGAAGGAGATCGCTAGCGGCCAGGGTCACGTCCAAAGGGGAAATGCTCACATGTTCGCCTCTTAGGTATAGGCCAAGGTCAACCCGTCAAGCACGAGACCCAGCGTCTCAACCCGGCCAATAGAAAAGCAGTCATTTTCCATCGGCTCTTACCAGCACAGCACGACGATTTGTCGTTTCCACTTCGAGAGGGAAACCCCTCTTCCAGACATCAGAATCCCCTCGGTAAAGCGACCCCTGCCTCGATCACCCGTACGGCACAGGGACGGATCAGATGTGATCGCACGGCTGTATCCGCCCACATGCACAGCACCTCTTGATGGTGTCGGATCAGACCCGGATACTTTCGTTAAAGACCTGATCGACGCAGGTCCCGGCAATCTTGCATAACGAGGTTTAGTGTTTGTTGAACTTTGAGAGCGGATAGATCCTGAACAACAAGATCCAAGCCTCGAGACAACGTCCACAAGTTGAAACGAGTTTTGGATAGAAAGAGAACTGTTTTGTCAGTACGGGATACAGACCTCGCTTCCACTGCGCTGCGAATGATCCTGGGGGTCAGGAGACAGAGATGAAGAGATAGCAGGGTGGGATTGAGCTTCAATTTGGCAACTGTATACTGGTCCTGTTTCACTCACTGGAACGTTGGGAACTGCGAGAGAGTTGATACAGAGGTGTTGTCCCCGCCTCGCATCGACCCTACTCGAGCTGCGGTATTTTAGCCTTGCCAGTCTTTTTTTCCCGTGTAGCACATGGCAGCGCAAAAATGCAATCCGTCGGCCAGCTCCCCATTCTGTTAGTTGTCCTTTGATCCTCTCGTAGATCTCGCCGTTATCTGGACAAGAATCCAGAACATGGGCAATTCAGGAACTGACCAAAAGTCAATCGGTGGTCGAGACACTAAATGCAGTAGGAGTGACTACCGAGCATTAGAATCCGGACAGCCGAACACCACGCGGACTGGGTATGCAGGGATGGAGCACCATAAATACCGCTATACCCGAAGTGGGCGGTGATGTATTTGCGCCTCACACCACCCGAAAAACATTTTGAGGCCGCGAAACCCTCTGGATCGAACAGCATCCTCACATGTTGCGCCAGTTGAAGTTTATCCCATCTCCTGATGTTGCGATCTTTATGTTTCTTGGCCATTCCCTTACCATCAGATCATGTCAGCGGCATGTCCCCCTGCCAGCTTCTGTGGTGACCTTGTTTCCAAAACTGCAAAAGGGCCAGCTTTGAGGCACCGTCATTCGTCCAAGCTGCCCCTCCCTCCTCCAGAAGCTCCTCCCACAGTCCTCACTCGAACGTCCCCTCGTATCCTGACATCCTTGTCCTCCTTGCATTGGCTATGTCAGGTAGCTCCGCCAGTCTTTGATCGCGTCCACGCCCATCGCCTTGAACCTTTTCCTTGAATCCATCCATCCCGCTGGGCAATGGGAAAAGAGGAGGAACAGTCAGCTTTGCTCACGGTGCAGCTCCCCTTCCAAGCATATGCTTCGGATCACTCATACCGCTTCCCACACATCCACTTGTAACCTTGTTCGGACACGTGCAGGGATTGAGCAGCTCGCATTGAATGCACTCTGATGCAACCGACTTGTGCATAACTGGAGGCGAGAGGACAAGAAAGCGAGAATGGTAAAAACATGTCGCTCATCCCCATCACAATGCTTCTCGACCGCCGCCGCTTAGATTAGCAATGGATGAATCCACGGTGCCTGCCGCTGTCCGTTACGACCGGGTTTCTTGTATGATACGTAGCATCTGTAGGCTGAAGATGTGATCATCACTGACTACTGCTATATAAACCTTCCTTCACTTCCGGCTGTCGTCACCTCGAGCTCTCTCTCCTCTCTTCACACCCTCATCTCCGTCTTGTCACCGTCCGCACACCTTGCCTTTGCCTGCGTTTCCTTCCTCATAGATTTCCCACGCAGAACCGGCCACCATCTTCTTCCTTCTCTTCCCCTCCCTCCATCATGTCTTCCACGGATGTCTCTGTCGAGAGCATCTCGCCCTTTGGCAAAGCCCGCTCGACCGTCAAGGGTGAGCCTCTCGGCAGCGACGAGCTGAAGCTCCATGATGACTATATGCGAGCCAGTCTTTATCTCTGCCTTGGCATGCTTTATCTCAAGAAGAATGCCCTGCTCAAAGAGCCACTCAAGGTCGAAGACTTGAAAGCCAGACTCCTCGGGCACTGGGGGTCCGATGCTGGTCAAGTCTTCACCTATGTCCACATGAATCGCCTTATCAAAAAGTATGATCTTGATGTTATCTTCATCTCCGGCCCCGGACACGGAGCCCCCGCGGTGATCTCTCAGGCCTATCTGGAGGGTGTCTATAGCGAAGTTTACCCGGATAAATCCGAAGATGAAGAAGGCATGCGGAAATTCTTCAAGCAGTTTTCCTTCCCTGGGGGCATCGGTAGCCATGCTACCCCTGAGACGCCTGGGAGTTTGCATGAAGGAGGTGAGTTGACCCAAACCACAGTCTCATTGCCCGCAGCAGCTGACATACTGGCCAGGTGAGCTGGGCTACAGTGTTTCACATGCCTTTGGCACCGTTTTCGACCACCCGGATCTGATCGCTCTGACCATGGTCGGTGATGGTGAGTCCGAGACTGGTCCTTTGGCCACCAGCTGGCATAGCACCAAATTCCTCAATCCCATCACCGACGGTGCTGTTCTCCCGGTTCTCCATCTCAATGGCTACAAGATCAACAACCCCACTGTCCTCGCCCGTATCAGCCACCGAGAGCTGGAGGCGCTGTTCATCGGCTACGGCTGGACTCCGTACTTCGTCGAAGGCAGTGATCCCTTGAGCATGCACCAGGCCATGGCTGCCACCTTGGAGAAGTGTGTCTTGGAGATTCGAGCCCACCAGAAGAAGGCACGCGAATCAGGAAAGGCGTTCCGACCTCTGTGGCCCATGATCGTCCTTCGAAGCCCGAAAGGCTGGACTGGCCCACGAACCGTGGATGGACACTACCTCGAAGGCTTCTGGCGAGCTCATCAAATCCCCCTGCCAGATGTGGCGTCTAGCTCCGAGCACCTGAAACTTCTTGAACAGTGGATGAAGAGCTACACCCCCGAGCAGTACTTTGGTGAGGAAGGAAAATTGGTCCCGACTCTGAAGAAGCTAGTTCCTGAGGGTAACCGGCGGATGAGTGCCAACCCTGTCGCCAATGGTGGTATCTTGAAGAAGCCACTGCTCATGCCCGACTTCCGTGAGTACAAGCTGGCCTGCGAGAAAGGAGGTATAACCGAAGCACCCAGCATGTCGAACATGGCCGTCTTCCTGCGAGACATCATTGCAAAGAACCCACACAACTTCCGTCTTTTTGGTCCCGATGAAACCGAGTCCAACAAGCTTGGCGGAGTCTACGAGGCCGGTAAGAAAGTGTGGATGGGCGAATACTTTGAAGAAGATGAAGATGGTGGCAATCTGGCTTTCAACGGTCGTGTCATGGAGATGCTCAGCGAACATACCGTCGAAGGTTGGCTCGAAGGCTACCTCCTGTCTGGGCGCCATGGATTGCTCAACAGCTACGAGCCATTCATTCACATCATCGACTCGATGGTCAACCAGCACTGCAAGTGGATTGAGAAGTGCCTCGAGGTCGAATGGCGTGCTAAGATTGCCTCTCTCAATATCCTGTTGACGGCCACCGTCTGGCGTCAAGACCACAATGGCTTCACCCATCAAGACCCCGGATTCCTGGACGTCGTCTGCAACAAGTCCCCGGAGGTTGTCCGCATCTATTTACCACCTGATGGAAACTGTCT